CAGGTGGAAACTGCTTTATGCCGGCCCTGCTCAGAGGGGAGTCTCAGTACAGTAGTGAATATCTGAATATAAGACACAAATATAAACGCGATGCAACCAGCACTTAAACATACACCAAAGATAATAATCTGAATTTCACTAGTAAACACCTCCGAGCCAGAGATCCTAAGGAGCCGAGGGATTTCACAGAAGAACTGGTTGACGATGTTGGAGTGGCAGAAGGGCAGCCTAAAGGTGTTCCCCGTGTGCAGGGCAGAGTTCAGAAGAGCCGCGCTCCAGGCCGCAGCTGCCATTAGCAGACAAGCTCTCCTGTTCATCACTGTCGCATAGTGCAGTGGTTTGCAGATGGCGATGTATCGGTCATAAGCCATGACGGTGAGGACGAAGAGGTCTGCTGTAATGAAGAAGAGGAAGAGAAAAACTTGGGTGACGCATCCAGAATAGGAAATCAGCCTGGTGTTCAGTATGGCATTGGCAGTGGATTTGGGGACAATGACAGAGATGGATCCGATGTCGAGGATGGACAGGTTGAGGAGGAAGAAGTACATCGGGGTGTGGAGGTGGCTGTCAACGGCTATGAGCATGATAACAAGGAGATTGCCAATCAGGGCTGCCCGGTATATTGTTAGGAAAGTGGCCAAGTGCAAGATGTGCAATCCCAGGGCATCGGAGAACCCCAGGAGCAGGAACTCAGTCACCGCGGTGCAATTGGACGTCATCATCCACAGTGCCTTTTGGGATGCCTGTGGAGGGAAAGGGAATGACTGTGTCAGGACAAGAGGAAGAAAGACAAAAAGAACCACATTTCTTATCCATAGTTTTCTATGACTTGAGTTTTTTTGGAGGTCTGCTGTATTTTCTGTTCAAAGGGAGTTATGTGATAAAAATCAGGGTTCCCAAAGTGACAATATTTTTCACGATACTTTAAAAAAAATCAGATTATAGAGGCATTGCAGCCAAAAAGCAAACAGGTAAAGTATTTTATCAGAACTTTTGCAGACACCTTGTATGAGCACTAGTGAGTGGCAGTGATATTTCCCACGTCTGTGAAAGTGGAGAAGTTGTCAGTGCACTGTCACACTGGGATAAACTGCTCCAGCTCCTTTCTAGTCCAAGAGGCCACGTCCGTTCACGTGAGGTGCAGGTCCATTGCAAGTCCATGTGACTTGGGAAAAGGAAATAATTAGAACCCCAGATCCTATCATTTCATCAATGTCGGTGCCTGAATCTTACCCATGGGCATCTGAGCATGAAATTATGAAATCAAAAAGGTCATCCCATAGTATTTCCATTTTCCTAGGGACATAGAGCCTAGACACAGCCAGCATCTTATGGTCTAAGTCATTTGGAAAGATTGCAATCAAATGGCTGGCCGGATGTGCACAAGGCTGTGTGTTCAAACTGGCTTCAAGTCTCAGAAATATATATAAGCATGGGCTGTCAACGTCCCTGCATGGCCTCTATATTTTGTAAGTCATGTATTTCAAAGATATTTGACCTTTTCTTTATTAGTTTATTCTGAAAATCTTCAATGGCCAGCAAACTAGATGACACTTGGCACTTCAGGGGTTGCTGGTAAAGAGGGAGACATGCTAGCAGGGCAGCTCCAAGCCGAGGGCAGGTTGTGATGTACAGGGCATGGGCTGCTGCCCTGCTTCCCCGCTCACTTACATTACTGTAGAATAGGTAAACATTTGAGGACAGCAGTCTGCTATTTTTCATGAGAATATTTCTCTGCTTACTTTTTCTAACAACTGTAGAGATGTTATCAAATGGAGAATAAAGTTCTGAAATCATTTTTAATAATTCATTATAATTTCTATAAAATTTCCTCTCTATTAAAATCCAAACATTATAGAATTGAATAAATTACTTACTGTGTTTGTTGTAATGTTTTTGTCTTCAGTTTCCCACACTAAATCCTAGGGCAGCTTGATTACTGACCATCTACTCCTGCCTCCAATCTCTTGTGCCCCCATCACTGTGCTATCTAGATGCCAGGGGTGCAGGTTTCTCGGGGGCGTGCACTCCTCGCTGTGTAGGAGAACTGAGAGGAGTTGATCCAAAATGATGACTCCCTGAAGAAGAGCTGGGCGTGCAGCTGCCTTGGAGCTGTACTGCAATGAAGGGACTGACTCGCAGTCAGCGAGTTGTCTATGAATATGTTGGGAGGTCTCGTGGGACTGTTTCCCTAGAGCCCTGCACAGCTCAGAAGCAGGGTCCATGGGCAAACATGCTGGATTCACAGATATTGAAGCCAGAAGGACTGTCCAGAGCCTCCAATTGGACCTACTGCTGACCACATGTCAGAGGATCTCGCTTTGGCTTGTAACAGGCTGTGTCCATCAGCAGGCCAATGTGGCTAGGCTTTGCAATGTTGGGTTGGAAATAATTTTTCCCCTCTCTGGGTGCTAACAGGGTCAGGACCCCCCTCGCCCGACAGCCCTGCCTTC